GTGCTTTCATTTGTTTCTCGGTGTTTGGACACCCCGATGAAACACTCGCTCTCGTTTTGGAAATAGTACTTCCAGGTGTCCTGCGCGGAGCAGGAGGGGTCTGGACAGGAATGACTTATAAGAGATCGCGTGACAATCTAAGTAAACAAGAATTAACATTTACACGAACTCAGAAAGAGCGGCCGTGAACAATCTACAGTTTAAGATCAGAAACTAGCGCCAAACTAGCTCAGCGATCATACAGGAACGTCGCAGCTGGCATTGCCCAACCATCAGTGTAAAAAAATTGAATGATGGGCCTTACAAAGGAACAAAAGCTAAAGGTAAAGTTATACTTCTGTAAAATGAGCGGCTAGCTACCGCCCCCGGGCTACAGGCAACCCTTTGAGGGCTGATGGTCTGAAAGTTTATTTTGTTTTTAACCTCGACCCTTTCAGAAGGGCACCAGTTGGGATAAAGTTTCTTCTAGCACAATAATCAGTGATCAGGCGCAATGCGTATTAAATGAATTTTTTATTGGTAATAAATCTTCAAAATTACTTTGGCGATTAACTGAACTACATGTAATTTATTCTCTATTGCCAGAATTCAGGGATCTCGATTTAGTCCGGTTTGACTGTCTATTTAGACGGTTGCGGTCTTCATTTGCAGACTTCAATAGACTTGTCTCGGTATTCGCTCTTCGACATTTCAAGAGAAACCTAGAACTGAAGCGACGGCGTGAGTGCGGTTACTCCCGCGGGCGGCGAACATGATTCTCTTCGCAGCTGTTCAGGTGATAGTTCGGAACGTGTCAGCGCAGGGAATGCGGATTTAAAAATCAACTATCAGTAATGTCGAAAAAAGCGCATAAATCAATTTGCAATTGGGCGGTGTTTTATAACACGTATTTGCATTTGTAGTCGGGAGAACGCTAAAACACTGTGCGTGTGACTAGCTGAAGAAACACAGGCAGTTTTTCTAGCTTTGATTGACAACCTCGTACCCAGAGTCGACCAGAGTCTTCTCCACTTCTTGACGAAGACTTGAGGTAAGAGATTGAGTCCCTCTGGTCTCCTGAGTCCAGCCGAGTGTTACGTCGTCACGCAACGGACCTTTTTACCGATGTCACGCTTTTACGAATTTTTCATTCAATCAAAACTTAAGCCTCACCACTCGAATTATCATATCAAAGTTAATAAATGTGTGAAGTTTGACAAAAATTTGTTGCAAACTCATGAAATTATGGGACCCTAACAAAGAAATTTGTGGCAGGGGGTAAGCGTTGCGTGACATCGGTAAAAATTTCCATTTATTTAAGTCCGGTCCTCACTTGCGACGCACGTAGAAGCATAAACATAAGCATAAAAGAAGCTTATGCGCTGGTGGGGATGGCCGGACATAATTATAAACATAAGAATATCAAAACCGTGCGTTCTTCTTCTACTTATGCTCACCGGTCTGTCGCTATAGGGAAGATATGATGATAATACTTTATTCAAATACAGAGTACAAAGAGTATTTGAAAAGGAGGACCATGAGGTTATCCCTATTTAGGTCCCCTAAATCTATCTGTTTACAAACATTGTTTTTGTTATTTAAATGTCCAAAACGATAAACAAAAAAATCCTTTGTTTCACCAGCCAATAGTTCTCTGGTTGGCATATTAATAACAATAGGTGACGTCACTGATATCTTTGCTATTGTGTCCCGTGGGGACGTGTTGGCATAAGCATAAGCATAACAGAGCAAAAGACTTACAGCCAATCAGCGAGCACTTTATGCTTGTGCCAACATGTTTTCACTGAATATAACACCGACATAAGCATAAGCCATAGTTTTAAAATGGCTTATGCATAAGCCATTAACTATGCATAAGCATAAGAAGAACGCTTGTGCTTACGCTTATGTCGCGCGTAAGCTTCTTATGCTTCTGCTTATGCGTGCGTCGCTTGAATGGCGAGGAACGGGCTTTCCGCACCGCTGCTTCAATATTGTAATACTCAGTTTTGCTTTGGAACATATACGTAACACCTGAAAGAAAAGATTGGTTGACGAGCCCAAAAGAGCGTCTGCGCAGGAGGCTATCTTACACGCTGACAATTAAGATTTTTACATGTTTTGTCATAGTATGAGAAAGACGGCTATTTGGTCATCGAAGACGTGTTTGATGCTGCCAAAGTGAAGAAGCTTTCTGAAGCCGCGGATGAATTTGTTCTGAGGTAAAAGCAAGAGATTCTTTCCTATTTTTTATTAAAAAAAAAGAGTTACATCGCTTGCCTTATTACATGGTGTGACTGAGCACTGTTAGTGGATGCTCCTAGAAGTGTAGAATTTTGCCTTATTTTCATTGCCCTGTGGGGCATATCATCTCAGCGAGACATATCCATGGGACATTTCAATTTACCACAGTGTTTAATTTGTCCATTCCTTTCAGACGACTTCTGTTCCCGGGCGTGGCCTAGAAGGGGGGATGGCCATTGCTGGAATTAACTGATAACGTCTCGGTGACCACCACGGCTGAAAAAAAAAAATGGATTTATATTTTACTTTTGAATTTCGCAATTATCTAGAACTGCTCAGTAAGCCGAGCGGTCTAAATCCCTACTCAAACTAAAGATGTAACGCCAGTGATCAATTTCAGATCAAAGTACGAAAAATTAGCAGTCGTGGCTTAAGTTCTTCAAAAAACGCAAAACTTGATCATTTCACGTTGTTGTTTTGAAGAGGACAGTTACGGAATATACAAAGATTTATAACGCACGTGCACAGTGATTATTTTGCTCATAAAACCTTTTGTTTGGTGGCGTTCTCGTTGCCGTTGTCGTAACACTGTATGTCTTCTTTCGCTTCACCAGGGCCGCCACCATGACAGAGTCTGACGGAAATTACAATCTTGAGTGGAAAGACAATTCGTCCAAACCAGTTTTGAAACGCGTGAACTTGCCTTCAGTGGTTCATCCTGTCTTTGAAGACATACATCACGACAAAAAACTGCTGGACATTGTTTCTGACCTGGTAAGCTTCTGGGTTCGGTCAGGAGACCATGATCATAATCTCTTGGTTCAGTGGATTTGCTGTAGGCTTATAAGTTTCGTTTCTGCTGTCTTTCGTTCCCTTTCTAAATTTCGCTGTTGGGAGAATCTGAGCAGAGAAAGTTACACGCCATGTTAGGTATTAAAAATCCTTGAAGTTTTCCAAACGAAACTTGAAAATAATACCATCTCTTGTTTCCCCCACCAACGATTTTTCAAGAGCCTGACCCTGCTCATCACCCACCCGCTTTTTCGATCGTCCCTACTGACCAAGAGCCTGGAACAGGCTAGAACCTCCCCAGTCCCCCATCCATGTGGAAATTCCAGTTTTGGTTCCTACCCCTCTCTCTTGGAATTTCCAAGCGTATGCACGCCTTCTTGCTTCGGTTGAATTGCTTGAAACATTATTTGCTCTGCTTTTCAGATCGGTCCCTCCATCCGTTACATTCAACACGACTGTTTGTTTTTGAACTATCCAGACCGTGGCGGTTGTCCAATCAAATGGCACCAAGACTGGGTTTTCTGGCCTCACACAAATCAAAGTCTTGTGACTGGTTTCCTCTCTATTGACGACTCCCGGCGTGAAAATGGTAAGAGATCTGAGTTGCATAGATGCCTTTTGTGTAAGGAATATATATAAAAGAAAGTCTGCCTACGAACCAAGAGGCCCATCAGGCCGAAGCGTATCCCGGTTTCTGTAGCATGAAGCGACTAGGAGTATTTCTACTCCCCCCTGGATGGGATGCTAGTCCATCGCAGGGTTA